AGAGGTGATTTCTCTTCACAGGAAGGGCAATGGCTATAAGAAGATTGCAAAGATGTTAAACATACCAAGAGACACCTTAGGAAGCATCATTCGCAAATTCAAGGCAAAGGGCACTGTTGAAACGCTACCTGGTCGTGGCAGAAAGAAGATGCTGACTTCGACTGCTGTGCGCTACCTGAAGCGTAGAGTGGAGAGAAGTCCCCGTGTGACTGCTGAGGAACTGAGAAAAGATTTGTCAGATGTGGGTACAGAAGTTTCAGCCCAGACAATAAGACGCACACTGCGTAATGAAGGCCTCGTGCCAGAACTCCCAGGCGTACCCCCTTGCTGTCTCCAAAGAATAAGAAGAGTCGACTGCAGTATGCCAAAAGCCATGTGGACAAACCACAAAAGTTGTGGGATAGTGTTCTGTGGACTGATGAAACAAAATTAGAACTGTTTGGGCCCATGGATCAACGCTATGTTTGGAGGAGGAAGAACAAGGCCTATGATGAAAAGAACACCTTGCCTACTGTGAAGCATGGTGGAGGGTCAATCATGCTTTGGGGCTGTTTTGCTTCTGCAGGTACAGGGAAGCTTCAGCGTGTGCAAGGTACCATGAATTCTCTTCAGTACCAGGAGATATTGGATGGAAACGTGATGCAGTCCGTCACACACCTGAGGCTTGGGAGACGTTGGACCTTTCAACAGGACAATGATCCCAAGCATACCTCCAAGTCCACTAGAGCATGGTTGCAGAGGAAAGGCTGGAACATTTTGGAGTGGCCATCGCAGTCACCAGACTTAAATCCGATTGAGAACCTCTGGTGGGACTTAAAGAAAGCAGTTGCAGTGCGCAAGCCTAAGAATGTGACTGAACTGGAGGCCTTTGCCCATGAAGAATGGGCGAAGATACCCGTAGATCGCTGCAAGACACTTGTGTCAAGCTATGCTTCACGTTTAAAAGCTGTTATAACTGTAAAAGGATGCTGTACTAAGTACTAAGATTGAATGTCACTTGGGGGTTGAATAAAACTGATAATGCTGTGAGCACAGAAAAGACATTTGTGGTTATTTCATTATAACTGTTATGTTATATTTGTCTGACCTACAAGTGCCTCTTTAATGTAAATGTAAGCAAGATGACTGAATGATCAAAAAAGCAATGTCAAACTGGCCAAAACACTCAATTTCAGTGGGGGTTGAATAATTTTGGCCACAACTGTATGTTCTTTGTGGAGGATGACTTGATGCTCCCTGGATCCTGTCGCAGGAGCGAACAAGTACTTTAGAAGTATGATCGCTGTTTGAGAAGATTAGTACATTTTTGCAAAGAAAGGAGGCAAAAGCTCTCGAGATTGGAAAAAAAAACAAGCTTCACCAACAGCTATCGTGAATGCATAACTCTCTGTGGCTTTATCCTTAGATATGCCATAAAAATTCCGTAAAATATGTGATTGAATATCTGCACTATTTGAATTGTGTGTCATCATGAAAAAGTCATATGGGGAATAAGTAAACGGGTTTTTTTCCTGCAAAATGTTTTTATTCAAAAACGTGGTCAATATAAAGTGGACCTAAACCCAAAGAGTGAAAATCTGCTGTTATTTGGAACAATTAAAAATGTTATCTGTACCTAAGCAGTACAATAAAAAATGCATGGCATTCTTCCTGAAAAATAGCACTGTATACATGAGTGTGCATAGGCACTTGTAGCACCCTCCTAGTTAAATTGCTAGAAAGGTTTAGGTAAATTTAATTTTTTGGCTCCTCTGTAGTCAGTGGAGTAGTGTGTGATTGTTTTGGTCTGTTCTGGGTTTCACTGGCTGCAGGCTCAACTGCTTCCCCCTGCATTCTGGAGGATTCTAGAATGCACTGAGTTAGAAGAAGCAGGTTCTGGGCCTGAATATTTATGTGGTCTCAGCCAATTACTGGGGACGATGCCCAGTAGGTGGCTGAACAGTGCATAAATAGTCAGAGGTCTGAGAGAGTGTGGCTCTCGTCTAGAAAGAGAGGGTCCCATCCTGAATAACTACTGTGCTTCAGCAGTGCAGCTGACATTTGCAGGAACTCATTGCGGTCCCAGCTCAACTAGAGCTGGGAGGGAGGGACTATTTTCTGAAAATAGCTGGAGCTGATTGAGGGATTTCACTGAGGATCTGGTGTGGGAGTTCACAGGAGAAGTGTTTGGCTGCTTTAGGAAGGAGGCATCCAAGCATCCAGGGACTGTCTTTGAGGTACCTGTTTTAAGGTATAGTCCAAAGTGGAGCTTTGGCTGGGGGTTGAGGCGTTAGCATAGTCATGCATGCCAGGTCAGCAACAAATCTTGATGGCAAGGTACAAATTCAAAATCGGGAAGCATGGTCAGGGACAAGCAGGGTCATACACAGACTGGCAGAGTAAGGTAGAATTGTCAGGCAAAGAGAGTAATCCAGGAATCAGGCAAAGGTCAAAGGGCAGAAGTTCAGTAGCTCAGAAGTATAGCACACCCAGGGAACAGATCCAACAAATGGGCACAGTCCAAAGAAAGTCCTGCTACTTAAGATGATCCAATTGTGGATTGACTGCAGCTGTGAGACAGAGGGGACTAGAGAGTCTATTTAAGTCCCTGTCCCAGGTTTTGGCGCGCTTCTGGTGTGTAGCTAGTGTAGGGAGAGAGACCCCACTTTTTTAGGGAAAGGAACTAGAAGTAGAGAAAGTTTCCTGACGAGGAGAGACAGGTTAGGGGCTCGCTGTCCTGGAGAGAAGCTTCCCTCTTGGGTCCAGCCCGGCCAGGCCATGCTTCCACCTCTGAAATGGACATGTTTCTGCTCCTCTACATTTGACTACATTGAACTGTGAGTTTTTCTCTTGTGGTGTTTTCCAGCCAGGATATCCGCAACATTGGCATTCTGTTTAACACAAGTTTCAAGTTCTGCTGCAACCGGACTCTGTGTATTTGCTACCCACACAATGCTACACCTCCCCTGTAACTCTGAACTTGAAGCTACAACTGGTTGTGCATCTGCAATACGTGTTCATACGTGTGATATACAGTGCATGCACTTGTGTGCCTCAAATCAGCCTGCTGATCATGCCTGGATCACTGGTTACTGGTCTTCAGCTAGTTCTCTGTGACCTGGCCTGTGCCCATTTGATTGTCTGCTTACACTGAACTACTTCCATTTCTGAAGTGGCTTTTGGACTTCCTTATACCTTCTGCTTGGACACTTGATCATTTTATTTTGACCTTGGCTCATCTCTTGGACCTTAATACTGCCCCGATTCAGAACTTCATTGTGCACCTCCTAACAACCCCTGCTGTTCCAGACTCTGCCTCTGCCTGTACCTCCCTTCTCACCATGCAATGGCCTTGACCTGCTTTATTACTTTACTACTGCTTCTGTCTCCTATTTCAAAACTGCCTGCTGGTCTTCTAGTTATCCTGACTTTGCCTGCTGCCCCAATCCTGTTTATGTTCCAGAGACCAACTTTAGCCTTTACATGTGAATTCCGTGCTTTGTCCTCCAGCAATACTTCTCAGGCTCCAGATGACTGCTCGACACAAGCCATCATTGTCTTTGCCACCAGCCAGTTCTTCTCTGCCAATATTATGAGCTAAAGTCATCACAAACATTTTCTTCTGCCACTCATGCTTCCCCTGCACCACAATCTCCCCTATCTCATCTCCAGGGGTATTTGGCAGGAGATAAAAAAAGAGACAATATTGTCATCTCAATCTCCTACCTGGTAAATGACATCCCCTTCTAGACAGCTCTCACCAGAACAGGTTTTAATCTCACCTCATGTTCCTTTTACAGCTCTAAAAATTGTATCACATTACTTTCTGTACTGGAAACAATGATCACCATTACCAATCAAGTGAATCTCTAACACTTCCCTGTTCCACCGAAAGCTACAAACAATTTTGGCTTTACATACACTTTAAAGCTAAGCTCTAGAGCAGGGGTCTCCAAATTTTCTAAACAAAGGGCCACTTTACTGTACTTCAGACTCTAGGTGGGCTGGACTGTGGCCAGCAGGCATAGAAAAAGCCCCATTGGGAGCAAACCATGCCTCAAGCTTGGTGGTCAGTTGGGGTAGAAGAACAGCATATCACCTGTAGTCGGTAGGAAGGGGAATATTGCCCTATCTTTGGTAATAGTGGAAGAAATAGTAGCCCATCATTGGGGTCAGTGGAAGACAAAAGTTCCCAATTGTTGGTGTCACTGTAAGGAATAGTGCCTCATATTACTGGGAGAGAAAGAGCCCCAAGAGCCAGATAAAAGAAAGCAAAGGGCCTCATTTGGCCCGCAGGCCACAGTTTGGATCACTGCTCTAGATAAACACAAATGTATACTGGTATATTTAATTTTAGATTCCATTACACCACATTAGCGATTCACCTCTGCCTGACAGCAGAGTCAGAAAGGTGACACCACTATCTCTGTTGAAGTAATATAGTGGTGTCCCATCTCTGGCAGCAATTGGACAAACAAAAGCAGCAACACACTGAGTAGTCATCAACCCTGCCCACTTTGCTATCTCCCTATCAGCATGTTTTTCTTGTCACTGTGGTCGAAAACTTGTTGTTTTGACCTCCACTAATGATTCAAAAATTGAACAAACATTGTTTGCCTAGGAATTTCCTTTTGAAGTTCTACCCATCTATTGCCAACATTTGTTTTCCTCCTTTTTCTTTTAGTCTGTGCAAGAAATGATAGTAGGCTGATGTGGGGACAGATTCAGTGCTTATGCTTTTTTTCCCATGGAAAAAAATATAATGAAATATTTTTGAAAGAATGGATCAATACATTTTATGGTGTTTTATATCTATCTTTAAAATGTTACTAAACTCATTACCTTGTATTCACTATATCTGGTCTCACACAGCACACATAACATGGAAAGGCAATTATTTTAGAAAATATATACCTTTTCTCATCAGCAGTTGAGCAGTCTTGTGACTTCTATCAGTGTCCAGCAGAATACGGGTTAAAGCTTGCAGGAGGAGTTTTCATTCTCCCTCGATTGTCCTATGAGGCTGCATAACCCTTGACCCTCTGCCTGGACAATGCGGAGTGGCCCTGTGCTGATCACATGGACCATCCCAAGGAAAAAAAAAAAAACTCTCTAGCAATAAAAAACAAACCGAGCTTGCTCCCAAGGCTCTGTTCTATCAGCAGATGGATTGGGGACTGTGGAAGAAGGGGAAGATCAGAGAAGACAGGTTCAAAACATCCTTTTTACACAATGCAGAGGATTAACCGCTTAGGTTCCACAGCGAATATAACAAGCATGCTTTACTGCATATACAGACTGTTGTGGGTTTAGTAACACTTTAAGCAGGAAGCTTTGCTCTTACTTTGAAAATAAAACAACTACAAAACATCCTATGGAAGAGACGGTTAATGTAGACTTATAATTAAAGTTCATTCTCCACAAAATCAATACATTATTATTATAAGCAAGGCTTCATAGACCTTCAAAAGGTATTCGGAAATGCAAGCACAAATTGACTAACCACAGATACCACCATCTCCCAGCCAGGGGCGGACTGACAACTCATGGGGCCCCCGGGCAATAGGGGATCATGGGGCCCCTGTGTCCTTTCCCAAACTCAAAAAAGCCTATGAAAAAGGTACCAGGAGCATCTCATGGGGCCCCCTACTGACCCCGGGCCCTCGGGCAGTGCCCGAGTTTCCAAATGGTCAGTCCGCAATTGCTCCCAGCTTTCTCATGAGATTTGTTATCTTCAGTGTCTCTAGATTCTCACCAAATAGATTGTGACATCACAATAACAGAGGCTGGCTGTTAGGTAAGTATATTTTCTCAAATGTTTTCCTCTTATGTGCTTTTTTTACAACTATCACCATTTTATAAATGCATTACAAATATCGTGATGGTTTTGAAATGGGAGGTAATGAAATAGATTGTCACGGTCAGGGGTCAGGCTTGGAGACCGGTAGTTATATCAGAAGAGATGCTCTCGTTGACCAGCAGGATAGGTATGCAAGTGGGTCACCCTCTCGGATGATGCGGACTCACCTGAGGTGCCGGGTCTAAGCGCTAGCCAATGTTCACCAGAACTCCTGATGGTGGAGATGGGTTTTGTTGCGTGTTAGTACCAGGCCACAGTGCTCAGGATAGTCCCATTAGGAGGAGAGCAAGCAGGGGACCAGTAGCAGATAAATTAGGTAGGGATCAAGCAGAAGCATAGTCAGTAAACAAGCCAAAGGTTGGTAACTAGTGATTGCATGTTGGGTTCAAGCAGAGTGAGGAAAAAACCAAAGGTTGGTAAGAAGTGGTAGCAGAGATTTTGATGGCATCAGGAGTGACAAGAGCGAGCGAGATATTGGCTGGAGAGAGCACAATAATCTGGCAAACAGGAAGGGCAGAGGCATGGCTTAAATAAGAAGTTCGTGGGAGGAACAAGGGGCTCAAAGTTTAAGAGAAATAATGTTCAAGGCAGGATCATTCAAGGAATTGTCCAAGGAATTGTCCAGCATCCCAGGTGGCTCAACAAGAAGAGACATTGCCAGACATAGCAGAGGTTGCAGGTTCAGACCTGGATCTTGCATTTTAATACATGCTCTGTTTTAAAGATTATAGGAGATTCTAGTGATTGGGTTACATATACTTTAAACAGTTTCTTTCCTAAACACACAAGCTGCCTTGACTTTAGCTCTGACTTTGTCATGCTGCCCAACTCCCTTTAGACTCATAATAAGAATGTAATAATACTAGAATTGGTTTACGTGATGGAAGGGGATAGCAAAGCTCCTTATTGGAGCTAAAGTCAATGCCCCAGTAAGTGTCTCAGAGATAGTGGAGTTCCATGGCTGAACAGAAGATTTGTAATAAGGGTACCTGCAGGCAACTCACGGTGCCTGCTTTTAATCTTTAATGTTCTGAGTTAGACAAGCTGACATGTTCACTTTAAATTTGCAGATCATATAGGAAGTTAATCCAAAAGTTTAAATAAAATATCCATAAATATGGTGGTCTTTTTAAGCACTTATAAATTAGCTGCAAAGAGGAAAATCGTGAAGTGATCTTGAAGAGTCAGCACACAGCTGAGTCATATATCCCGTATATTGGACACATTGACTGAGAAAAGGGAAAATCGTTGCATTCTGCAGAGTGCACCCTGAGGTGAACTAATGATAGAATATGTAAAGAAAGTACTCTGCTGCCCTGCAATAATTCTTAATTAGAGGCGTAAGAGGCATTCAGTAGCAAGTGTAAAGTACTTTACCCCATACATCACAGTACTAAGTGGTTTTATGTAATAAAGGATATGTGAATTCATTATTGTGTGCCTTGGCTGTATAACACATACATTGCTATATCAGAAGAAGTCATTTCTGGAAACTGGTATAAACTTAGTAAAGTGGAAATGTTGCCAGTACCAGCCAAGTTCCAGTGACAAGGGAATCAGTTTTCTAGTACTGTCATCCATGTCATTCTGATCATTGCTTCACTACTAAGGGCCTTATGTATCAAAATGTTCTTACTAAGATCTGGGATAGTCACCAATTAGAATCACACCTGCCATGAAAGTTTGGATCTGACTGATGGATGAGTAGAAATAACTTCAGTTCTTTGTATGAAAACATTGATATTTAATACTCTTGGTGAATTACTGTCTCCTATATCTTATCCTGATCTAAGATTTCCTATGAATAGCCTTATGTGTCAAAGTCACTATAAAATTGAGCCATGATTTTCTCACCAATAAGAATCAGACCTGCCTTGAAAGTATGAATCTGATTGGTGGATGTGGGGAGATAACTCCAGATCTTAGTAGGAACATATTGACACATAAAGCCCTTGGTGAATCACTGAGAAAATATGCAGCCAATACTTTTCTAAACACATGGTGACTCCTACAACACTACCATTGCATCAGACCTTGAGGTCTCTATCTATGGATGCAGCTTAGAATCAGTATGCCTTGCATTTTTCTCCAACTTCAGAATATTCCACTGGGCTTACAATCTAAGATTTGTACTCAGATAACAAGGCTTCCCCTTCCTTGCCCTGCTCTCTGCAAGCTTTTACTCTTTGGAGAGCCCACCCTTGCTCAGGGAGGATGGAGAAATTCCTTCTTTCTCTGAGGACAGAAACAGCTCTCAAACTTGTATCCTGTGATTTTGGCTGGCTGAACCTTGTGTCCAGATCCTCATCTCTCACAAATGTCATATCTCTTTTAGGTTCTCCCTGAACATTCACAGTCACAGGTTCTTCTTCAATTTGACCAAGCTACACTATATGCCATGAACATTACACCTACCTTTTATGGACACCTCTCCAAATTGTTGCATTCAGGTGTTTCCACTGAAGAAAACTGTTAATGCTATAGCATGCAGAGACACTTTAGACCAGCCTTTCTCAGCCAGGGTTCTGTAGAACCCTAGGATTCCTCCAGAGGTTGCAATGGGTTCCTTGGTCAGTGACCAACTTCTGCTTTTCAGATGAGTAACTACTGACACCACTGTTCTTCTGAGCCATCTATACAGTAAATTAGGGATTCTTCCTACTGACCCTAAATGTAAGGAACTTTCTTCCTTTTGACCATTGCACTAATGTACCATAAGCTGTAGGTATAAAGTTATTAGCAGAGGATCATTGAGACTTTTCTGTTGCAGCCATTGTTGCAGCCATCGTGCCCCTGTTCACAAAACTAGCCCATTTAAGACATTGATGATTTTGGTATGGAGGAACATGAGTAATCTGCACAGAGCCTGGCACTTAAGCCTACTGAAATGATTTGTAACACTGATTGTGAGCTAGGTCTTCTCCTCCAATGTCAGTAATTGACCACACAAATGCCCTTTTGATTGAATGGACATAAATTCCCACAGACACGCTCCAAAATCTTGTGGAGGACTATATACATACCTCCCAACTTTTTGAGATGGGAACGAGGGACACCTATTAGCAAAAGTATGTAGGCATAGGACACAACCCCTGCCACGCCTCTTTAAAGGAAAATTATACAGAAAAAAAAAAAAAAGATTAGTTAAACCCACAAGTGTTTTTTTTTTACCACTGCTATTCCTTTTTACTGGCTTTTGAAATTTACAGATGCAGCAATTTAGAAATTGGATGAAAGGGTTAGCACTGGAAAACACTATTTGAAAATAAAAAGTGCATTTTATATACAACTATAGAGATCAGACCAAAATGAGGGACAAATGAGGAATGTGGGACAGAGGGACTTTGTTCGAAATCAGGGACAGTCCCTTGAAATTAGGGACAGTTGGGAGCTATGTATATAGTGTATATCATTATTTATGTTCAGTTTTCAGAAGAGTAGCAAAGAAGACTGTTATATCTTTTCTAGGCATCTCCATGACATTTGTTATTTGCTTTTTAGTGAGTGTCAAAGCACATCTAGACCACTAAAAGGAAACCTAACATGGTACTCCATCTCTGCTCAAGAAGGAATATGTCTACGAGAGGGGCATACACGTTGATGTGAGAGTCCTTGAAAGAGAAAAAAAAAAGACACCTGCTCAGTAGAAAATAGCTCTCAACGTTTTCTCCCAATGTGGACACAGACAGCAAAGAAAATCTGGTAGAAGTTTCAAAGGGTAGCTCTATTTTCCTGGGGAAAAAATACAGCAAATAAAAAAAAAAAAAATAATATAGCATACACAACATGACTTGTGTAGCTACATCATAGCGACACAACACAAGCCAAATTGTAATTTAAAGTAATAAAAAATGACCTTCCCTTTTCAATCTGCATTGCTGTAATGTTTCCCGCTAGCTGTCAAAGCGGAGATCGAGGGGGAGCGGGGGCCAGTCAGATCACAATATGTTACATATTACACCCTGAATATGGGTGTACCATGTAACGAAAGGTGAACTTACCCTTTCCAATGCAATGCAATATGGCAACCTAGAGGCCTTCTCTACACAGTTGATGTACAGAACTTCCCCAGAAATGTCATTTCTTGCTTTTGTGATTGGCTCTCTGATTTTCCCAGAAGTCTGCACTAAGATACAAGTCAGATTTTAAACATCCTCTACAACAGAAATTTCATTTTTTGGTGAGAGACACCCATAGAGTCATCATTTGAACACTGCAAGTGCATCAGCTAATTAATAATGAAAAAGTCACTCCTGTTTAGATTCACTCTGCAGGCAACAGCTTTATCTTCAGAGCAGAAACAAGTAGGAGTTTTGCAAAAAAGTGTGTTAAAATCCTTACCCTTGCAAATGCATGTACAATGATCACATTGATCATCAAGGTGGTTGTTTTTT